TATTATTATTATTATTATTATTATTATTATTATTATTATTATTATTATTATTATTACCCAGATATTGTTGTTCTATCCCAAACGCCCATACTTTGAGGTAAGGAAGTTTTTTTTTTTTACGTTGCTGCTGTCGCTACCATCTCCGTGGCTCATTTATCACCGGGAAAACGCGGCGCGGCTGTCGCGCTCCGCCCGCCAGATTGGCGGAGAGACCCGGCCGCCCCCCGCCCACCCAGCCACCCCCGCCCGGGAAGGAGCAGGTGCACGCTCCGCCTTCCCATTGGCAGCAGCCGCTGCAGCCGGCGCCGGAGCCTCGAGGGCCTTTGGCTCTTCGCCCCGCCCACCCCTGCAGCCAGGTAGGATGAGCGCGAGCGGTGGCGCGCGCCGCGAGTGTCTCTCCGTCCTCCTCCGCTAAAGCAGCCGAGGGCAGTGCGGCGGAGGCGGCCGGGCGGGAGCACCGGCCGAGAGTGGCGGTGCGCCCCGGCTGGGGAAAAACGACGGAGGCTCCATGCAGGCAGGCGAGCCCTCAAGGTAAGGACTCTCTTAGCCTAAAGGGTCCCCTGTAAGAGCCGGCGGGGGCGGGGGCGGGAAGGCGAAAAAGATGAGGCGAAGGAGGGGTTGGGGGCGAAAGAAGGTGCGACGTGAACTTTGCAGCGTTGCTTCCATCCCCGTCCCGTTTCTCGTTTTTTTTCTTCTTTTTTTTTAATATTACCTCAGGAGGAGATACTCGGGGGTGTTCTTTTGCAAATGACCAAGCTTCTCTTCGGAGGAACTGGAGGTGGTTGCCGGGGGGGCGGGGGGGTTCAGTTGGAGAAAAACTGGGGCGTGTTGTTATCTACCCGAGCGCCAGCCAGGGGGGACGTGGAAACAAGTCCGGCGTGTCCGTTAACGCCGGGTTCTTCTTCTTTTTCTTTTTCCTGTGCCGGGGAGGAAAAAAAAAGAAGAAGAATTGCGTTTTGCGTTGCGTTTTGCGACGTGGATCCGTCACATCTCCGGAGACCCGAAAAGCGGGGGAAGAATTGTTTTTAGGAGACCGGTTTTTTTTTTCCTCCCCTTCTTCTTTTTGTACCGCAGTGCTCCCATCCTGCCAGCAGGGAGCGCAGAAGAGCCGAATGGGGGTAACTGGGGCTGGGGAGGATGGGGGGCTTCGGTTCCATTTGCGGGCAAGAAGCCCAAGAAAAGTGTGGCGCCCCCCTCCCCCAGTCTAGATCGGAGCAAGGGGGGGGGAGTTGCGCGGAGGAAACAACCCCTTCCCGCCTCCCCCCGCTAAAGCAGATTGCCTGCTCTGTTTGCAGACCGTTTCAATCCGGATGCCCTTTGCGGATGAAAGATGTATCATGGAATGAACCCGAACAGCCGGGATCCGTTCCTAGAGGAGCAGCCGCCGCCGCCGCCGCCGCCTCCACCGCTGTTTCAGCGTTGCCAGTCTAAACTCTCCCTGGTGGTCTTGTGGTTCCAACTGGCGCTGTGCTTTGGCCCTGCACAGATCACGGGCGGTGAGTGAGCGGCTGGTTCATGTGACAAGAGGTAGCAAAATAAAAAAATATATATAGATAAAAAAAAATCAAACGCCCAGCTATGGGGAAGGAGGGAGGAGGGGGTGAGAGAGCTCAGGCTGCTTCTGACAGGCAGGTCCTCCTTGGCGCCGGAGGAGGCAGCCTCTGGCTATTGATCTGATGGGCACAAAATGCTGAAGCGGGGAAACATCCTCCCACAGCCTTGCCCGCCTTGCTGCTTCTCCAGTCAATGGATTGTGAAAAGAGAAAGGCTTGAAGGTAAAAAGGTGTTTTCCTCCCATTCAAATCCGTTGGAGGAGCAACCTCTTAAATGGCTACATCCTACCAAGGTAAGTTAAAAAGGTCCTCCTTAAAATAAATAAAGTCCCGCAGAAGAAGATACTTCATGTAGAAAGCTGTAAAAGAATTGTTACCCTTCAAAGATACTCAAAATAGGGCTAGGAAAGTTCATCCTCATTTTCTTCTCTGATGCTTCTCACTAGAAAGTAAGAAATAATGCAATAATTCTGTTTCTATTTGAGAGAGAGAGAGAGAGATGGATGCACTCGTCCTCTCTGGAACAATTCTTTCTTTGCTCTCCGTATTAAAAAACTCGGTATATATGCTGCAGAAAAGTTATCTTTCAATCCACATTAATAAATCCTCCAATGATTATAAAATTCCACTTAGTTTTAATATTGTATTTGGGACAAACTCATGTGCAAAGTTTTCTTTAAAATTGGGTTTCTTTTAAAACTGAGCTTTAATATTGTAGTACATTGTCCATTTCCAAAGGATAAGGCTACATAAATTCATGTAGAGAATAATTAGGAGTTAGTGGTTGTCTCTTTTATTTGGCCAGACATTGATAAGTAGCTGCTGCATCTTTTTGGGAAGCATTTTTATGTTGAGTGACTTGGAAGTTGAATGATCCTACTTTATAAAATGAAAAAGGAAATCATACCACTGCCTTCATTTTGTTTAATCATGCTGTCCTGAGTTCCAAGTATTTTTAAAGTGAAAATATTCATCCAGGAATGTTTTAGTCTCTAAAAATGATGTTGGCAAGTGTCCCAAATATATACTTTACCTATCCATATTATATCCATATAGTACTGCAGTTCAAGCTACCTGGGGCCACAGTGAAGACGATTAGAAGGTTTCAGTTGTCATAAGTGCAGCTGTCCAAGTGCTTGTGACACTATCACTATCAAGGACTGGTTTTATTCCTGCCAATCAACCTGTCTATTAAGTTCAGTAACTGTGGCTGTTGTTACTTGTCCATCTTTGCTTTAGCTGACCAAAAGAGTGCCTTGTCCTCACAAGGGACAAGAGGTTACTATAGATACTTCATATGTCCAAGGTCCTAAATCCTGTATTGGTTCTTTTTTATTAAGCTGTTCTGATATTATAACTGTACTGTTGATTTTTAATATGTGGGCTAAATTGATCAGTGCTGGCTTTTCTATGTGTTTTTATTTTATAGTATTGTTGGTTGTACTACTTGTTGCATTTTATCTGATAGATATCATATTTGCAGACTTCTCTTTTTGAAACACCTAAAAAGATTTAACCCTCATTTCTTTGAATGTTAAGGGTTGCCTATGTTCTATGTTCTCTGAGCTACTCAGAAGGGAAACAGCTCTTCCTGGGGCCATTTTAAAACTAAAATGAAATGCATTCCTTAATTTGAATTTGATTGTGAGGAAAACAAAACTCTTTTTAGTTTCAGTGCAATAAAATGCTTTGAACAATCTGACCATAAATCATTTCCTAATTGGATCATGTTGAACCTCTCATTTAGTGAGAAGAAAACTGTTAGTTGAAGGAGTTGTGTAGCTTTCTGGTGTGATGTAGGTTAACACAGATGCAGTTTTTTATGTTGAAATTAAATAGACTGGCTTTTGTTTAACAGCAGCCTGAAGGTTTGATACTCAAAAAGTTGACCCCATTGTTCATTTATGTTTTTTCAATTAGGGTTTTTGTATGCTTCTTGATGAAATCACAGTGAAATGAGGCCTGAACTTAAAACCGAATTGAGTTTAAGCTTTGTAAAGTCAGCTGAGCTTTGACCCAAAGTATCCTCAAAAGCTGTTTGAGTATTTCAGCAGCATACCCAAGGAAACAAACAACAACAAAAAATTTACAAGCATTTCAGCTTACAGAAAAGTAAAGTTAGGATATATTAGCACCCTGAATTTAGTTATGATATAGTTTGGCTTTCTTTGGGCCAGTTGTATAAAAATGCAGAGGGTCCCATAGTAAGATGGAGTATGTGTTCAGAGCATCTCTTGCATTGAAAGCATTGATATAATCACCACTTGAATGTTGTTTGCATTAAACAATTCAGCTTCATATAGAATCTATTAGTTGCATCTTGGAGCCTTTTTTCCTTATCCAAAACCTCTAATTTTTCCCCATCCCCATCTCTTTTTATATTTATGCTTTTGTCTTCTCTCTCATTTGCTTGTTCAGATTCTAATGCCACTTTGTTTTGTTTTTTGTTGTCCATTTTCCTCAGATATTTCCTTCTCCCCTTCCTTTCCAAAATCATTCGTGTTCTTCCTCCTCTCCTACATTTGAACCAGAAAGTACAGCTAATTTTTTGCTAGATCATGGGTGCACTTTCAAGCCTTTGTTACTTTCCTATCTTTTTCAGGTGCATGCACAAATATGTTATTCTTTAAAAGTGTGTGTTCAGGATTCATCTAATCATGTGGGAGTTTTATGCTCTATTTGCTTGCAAAGTTGTCAGCACATTGGGACAGAGTTCAATATTTGAAGGAATAAAATCTTCTAATTGGGAATGAAATCCTATTCTGTCTTATATATATTATCCCAGTTTTAAAAACAGATCTTTTGCCACTATTCATTCTGTGCATATGGCAGTCCTCTGCTTACTGTACTTTGTGAATTCTTTGAATATAATGGCATCTATGTTAGTATGTGTATGTATACATATATATACTCACAAATATATATATGCACACAAGGACATGCATACTTTTTCTTATTTCAAAATTTTTCAGAAATTATGCTGGAAGACTACTGAACAGGTAGTTTTTCAACTTGTAACCATTAATTTAGCAACTGTTCAAAGTTGCAAAGGCATGAAAAAAATATTACAACTGGACCTTGCACTTAAAGACTATTGCAGTGTCCCCACAATAATGTAATCAAAATTTGTGCACTTGGCAACCATGCATGAATTTATGATGGTTACAGTGTCCCACGGTCATGTAATCATCATTTACTTTCCAACCGGCTTCCAACAAACAAAGTTAATGGGTGGAAGCTGGATTTGTTTAACAACAGATTCAATTAACTGCAATGATTTGCTTAACCATTGCAAAAAAAAAAAATGGTAAAATCAGGCATGACTCACTTAATAACTGCTTTGCTTAGCAATAGAAATTCTGGTCCCATTTATCATCGAGGGCTATCTGTATATCAGTAATACGAAAGAGCCTAAATAAGACCCAGTATCATATAGTGATTAAATATGGAGACTTGGGTTCTTTAGGCACAGAAGCCAGCTGGGTGACCTTGGGCTAGTCATCTCATCTTGGCCCTAACCAGAGTCAGGATCTGTAATAAAGCTGGATGAAAAACAAAACCCTCATTGCATCATGGATTGCTAAATTTTGCTGTAAGAACTAGGCAAGTACAGTGTACAATAAAGGCAAAGAAACTTGCAACTAAAGAGAAATACTAAAACAAGTACAACAAAAAAGTACCAGATGTTTTAACAATGGGAATTTGGAATTTATTAACGTTTGAATTCTTTGCTATAAAAAAAGTATTTTTTCTTAAATATTCTACATATTTTATAGAATACAAAATAAGTGTCAAGAATACAGGATGGAAACAAATTTCTGTAATATACTATTTTGCATCAGAGTAATTTCATTCATCAGGTTACCCCATAGATTGTTTTGACCTATTAGTACTGTGATACTGTGTTAAAGAAGCTGTAGTTGCCAGGGTCTTTCATAAATCCTAAACACATAAACTATGATTTATTAACAAAACCAAACATGTATGTTTTCAGGGAGTGATGTTCCATGACAAATAAAACATGTGTGCAGTTATGTGTACATACACTATACTCAGAATGTTCTGGAAAATTTCAGAACGAACAGTATTTTAAAATGTAGAAAAACATACTTTCAGAATTCAAGTTCTGTCATGTACATTAATTTTTTCTTTACGTGTGTATATAGGGCTCACTGCAAGTCTGTGCTTGTGGATAGCTCATTATAGCTCTTCATCATCACTTTCTTTGTACTAGTTCTTAGTTTTACTGCTAATACAGAAGTAAATGTGCTCCACAACATTGCTGGCTGATGTGAATAATGTGCTTTGCATTTAGTTATCCAGTTATCCAGTAACCTACTTTGTTTAGAGACATAGCAGTGTGACAGTCTTTGAAATGAGTAACTTAATGTTGGGATTTCTAAGTGGGGAATGGCATTTGAGAAGTGTGAGAGACTATTATTACTGTGAATTTTTGGATCTATTTTAGAAAAAGTCTCAGTGTGGTAATATTCTTGCCCTTCAGATTTGATAAAGAAGTGCAAGAGACTGTAGAGGAATCCTTTTTGAATATTTTGTAGAAAATATACATAAATCATGTATCGAATAGCAGTTGCTTATTGGTTTTGGCATTTGTTTTTCAAATAAAATTTCATTATAAAATGAGCCACTTAGTTTTTATCCTGGTCACATCTATATAGCTAGCTTATATGCTCCCCTTCCTTTCTGGAGTCATCAAGAAATGGTGTCACCCTAAATCTTGTTTTCCCAAAGGGTACCCTTTCCCAAAGAGTAGCCTTCCCAAAGAGTAGCCTTCTGAATGGGTTTGTGCTGTACTGCTGTCCATGTAACTTTAATGTGTAACATTTTGAGGGCTGGTTGATGTGGAAGATGGTTTTCTCAGCTGAAATTCCAATCATGCCCTACATCATTCAGCATGTGAAAGATCGTCTCTAGTGGCAATA